GATACATTTTGTGTCCCAGCCGATGCCGGAGCTCGCACTTCTGGAGCTCGACCACTGCTAATGCAAAGTATACGTCTCCGGATATTAAAAAAAAAGACGTGGGTATTAAAACAAGTTCAAAATGAGCTCACTACCAGCTGAAGATAAACATTACAACCGAGAAAGCAATAGATTCAAAATTTCCCGTGTGAAGGCGGTCTCATTCTGAACGTCTTTCACACGTCATCGACATTCCAGAACAGAAATGGGTGTGGAAACGGAGAGGAGCACGAAAGAGGTAAACACATACTATGTTTTCCGGGTGCAGATACACGTACATTCCTATCCAAAAAGAACTCCATTATTATGAAGTCGTGTATTCACCTGTCGTCACTTGCATCAGCAACGAATTAGAGCACAGATTTTGTGGGCGTATGCTGGAGCTATGTAATGGTTTCAATTCTAAGCCGCCTGGAAGCCTGATTTCATTGTTAGAATCGCAAGTGACTACTACTTAGAAGACTTTCAAAGCCAAATTGACTCACTAAGAGATGAAGCTATTCGCTTTGCTTTGAATGATACCCGCTTTAAAGAAACGAAGACTGCAATGCAACTCGGCACGAAGGTGGTGGTGACAGATCTCCACACTATATCTCCGATTTTGTATCGACTTGTTCAGCTTGTTCGTACATTACCTGTTAGTACCGCAAGTACTAAGCGATCATTCTCCGTAACGAAGAGCGTAAAACATCGACTCCGAACTTCTACGAGCGACGAATGGCTCTCTGATCTACTCGTTTTGAGTGCTGGACATGATCTATCTGAGTCAATCAATCGAGATGCGATTTTGCACTTTAGTAAATGCACTTGTTTTTTTTAGAGGTGGCATTTTTTCATTTTAGTGTAGTCCACACGACTGTTCCGAAATTGTGTACAGTAATCGCTCTCCATTCCGGTACTGGTATAAAATAATATCCCTAAAATCCCTAAAATATCGATACAATCGCCTTAAGGAGGGTGTACTGACGGATTCTGGCGCGAATCGCTCAGCTCCAACCATTTGAAGAACAACACAGTGATCATAAGCTTCAGATCATAATTCACATTAGTTTATACCCATGGGGAGCTGGATGAAGATACAGCAGAAGCGAGGCCTCATCCAGAAGGCAGCAGATTGTCCCGACATGACGCAAGAAGAGCTGGCTGCGTGGGCAAAAGCGACGTACCAGCTGAGGCGAGCGCCTGCTCAAACTACTGTCTCTGACATCCTCAAAAACGCAGCCAAGATCATGTGCGTCACCTACGGAGATGCCAAGCGGCGGAAACTCTTACGCGTGACGTCGCCAGCGCTGGAGAAGCTCTTATTAGAGTGGATTCTGAAAGTACATGTAGAAGCTAAAGGTGTATGTCTCTCACGAGACTTAATTAAGCTAAAAGCCCGTGATATTCAGAAGGACCTGTGTGATGCGTGGGATATGACGATAAAGCGACCGGTCACACTAGCTACGGACCCGATGTAGACGTAGAAGATGTTATTATCCTTGCCTCTCAGTTAACCTTGTAAATGTACTGTAGCTTTTTTCTTTAAGAAAATATATCAAATCCTAGGATATGGTCGGACCACGATACCAAAAGTGAGAGCGATTATTGTATCGGGGTTTTGTAAATGACACCGGTAAGTGCGATGACTGTGACGTGCCAACCATATTGCAACACGCTATGAAGTCAAGCACACTAACCGTGAACAGCAGGAGAAGTGCAGTGCAGCCAAGGACCGTTCGTAATTGGATTTTCGGGATCGAGAGCACGAATATGTTGCGTAAATACGAAGGTGAATTGGACATTTCTGGGTGTCACGTCGAAGAGCTGGGCGAAAGGCAATTTGTTTTTGTGTTCCAACTTCGATGGCCTATTATACAACGCGATGGCACTGCGCCAAATGCAGTTTGTGTTACCGCCGCCTCTTCGTGATCTACTCGCGCTGTGCATTAAAAATCACCTTCCGCCCTTTACTGTTGATTCGGTGGTAATAAGACGCAGTAGGGCCTCAAATTCACTAGAACACGTGATAAACATTTTTTTCGTCATCTACTGTACATGTAGTACTACGCACCAGTTTTTCGGTTAGCCTGAAAAGAGATCCAACGTCTTCGATGCAATTTCACTCGCTTTTTCTCTCGAGAACACTCGAGCGAGAGCCCTTTGTTCATCGTGGTCGCGACTGTCGAGATCGTACTCAATTTGCGCCTTACTATTATCAAGCCACACTGTGTTGGTGATGGCCTGGAGAAGCTCAATCAACTTCACCGAAAGAAATGGCCATCGGGCGCTTGTATCGTCTGAGTCAGTTGTCATCGTGAACATCCCCCGAATGAACAACGAGCAATCAGAGGTGTCACCTTCGTTCGATATTACGACAGATTGGGCAGGCCGATCGGGTGTTGTCACTTCACGTGGACAGATGTACAGTCGAATTATATCGTGCCCTCGAACACTGTGAAGTGAGTCGGAGACCTTACGCGGATTGAGATTTTCCATAGCCGACGCAACCTCCTTCTCACTGACATGGACCAAGATACACGACACTTGATTCGTACAGAAGATTGGAAGAACTAGGTCAGCTCCTTCGAACCTGCGAGGTAAAATACCTGAAGCCCTGCGATCTAGCATTTTCCACAATGCATCATCGGTCGGTGTTTCCGGCAGAGTCACAAAATGGCTAAAGCTAATTTTCCAATTCCTCCAACGTTTCAGCCATTCACCATACATGTAGCTAGCTCCGGAATGCACTGTCAACTTTGCTACTTGCAATGTCGGATTGTCGCCAAGAAGCATAGTCACAAAATTTGGTACATCGCAAAACTGTCCCACAAAATTGAATTCTCTCCTGGCTCTCGGGTTTGTCCTTACTTGAGCGCTCATCATTGTCGTGTCCATTGCCAGTAGAAAGAAGATTCGAGCTACAATCTGGTAGATGTTGCACGCATCGACTACGCCATTAAGCAGCATCGTCTCGAGCTGGGGAAGGATGTGTACCTCAATCGCTGGCGGCTCCAATTGGTACCATGTGTGCGAAGCGCCAAACGTCAGGACCGGGTCCGACGCGTAGCTAGTAATGTGAGAGTCATTCTTGTACGTCACGTAGTGGAGAACACTCATAAAGTCGGTCACCAGACGCACCGCAAATGGGTGACATGCACGCACATGTAATCCCACGCGACATAACAATGATGCAACGCCGTTCAGCGTGCTATCATTGTAGCTCTCGGCGAGTCTCGCGTTTCGTCCTCGCAGTAGTTTTGAAGCGGCGAAAGCGTTCATCACTTTCTGTCTATCGGCTAAATCGCCCCCTCGCTGTCTACTCTGCCAAAGTGGTCGGCCCATTGACACAAGCGCTCTCCATACTTGATCCGCGTCAGTACTCAAGACGCGGCTCTTGGTCGTAGCGAGTAGATGGGGTGACGTTGAGTTCTCAAGCATGACGTCCATTGTTTGAGTAAGAATAAACGGAGGGAACGGCACTGGAAGACCACCATATGATCGCGAAAACGAGTCTCGTGACGACATAAACGCTTCAGCTCCAGAGTATGAGTCCACAAGAATCACGGAAACTACTCCGTCAGCAGCTCTCACCGCTTTGAAATTATTTACCCTATTCAGCCCTTGACGCATCATCTGAAGCGCATCGATGCCAGTCGAGTTCAGACACCGCGCCTCGTCGATGGCCACAATGAGCATCGGCGTCTTCTTACAATGTGGATTGGATTTCCGCAACTCCTTCGCCACAGGATATTGTGTATTTAAATCAAGTTTGATACATTTCAATTTTTCAACGATAGCAACGTCATCCGCGTCATCACTGTTATCGCTGTCAAAGAGAACTTTCCATTGCTTTCCTGCGTCGGAATGCTCCACCACATACTTAAAAGCTTGTAAAAGTGAAGTTGCAATTTTAATCTCGGATGAGTTCCTCTTTGGAAATAACCAATCGCGCACAGCTTCTGTAGGGCGTGGATACCCTTTAAATTCCTTGGCACTACGCGGACAGACGTACAAAACGGCAGCATTAAATTGGTTGCCTGAATTGACGAGAAGGTTGCCTTCTGCCGTGGTCTCTGCTAGCCGCTGCAGAATTCGGCTCTTGCCAAAGCCTGCGCTCTGCTTGATTATAATACACGGGGCCGTATACTCACTGGTGTGGGTAAGATACGCAGAGCAACATGCAGCAAAATAATTCCTGAATTCCACGTCCGCGTCGCCGACATACTTCGTTCTAAATTCCTTGGCGGCGTTTTTGTACTGCAAGTCCGTAGAGCTGGCGTTGACTTGTCGTGGCAGCATCTTCATCTGCTTCAACGCGACCATGACGGCTGCAACAGTCACGGTGAGATCGTTTTTACTAATGTCGTAATCGTAATAGGCAACGTAAATGGCAGCTATGAGCCGACGCTTAATCGCATCCTGATCTGTCTCGTTCCAGATGAGTTTCTCATCAAGTTCCAACTCATGTCTGCACACCTTAGAACCTGTCGTCGTGCTTCGCAGTGTATCGAACGTGATTGCTGATAGCTGCGCCAACCCCGAGTCGTGCATCTCTCTTTCGCGTGATATGGGTCTATTTGTTCTCGCGTCTTTAATTAGGTGTGATTCGATTATTCATTTCTCTTTATAACCAATAGGATAGGCACATAAGAAATCCATTCTAAGGTGATGCGCCACTAGCGAAATGATGCGCCAGACCTCGCACAATCAAGAATCTTGACTCAAGATTGGCGAGTGGAGTTAAACTATTTAAGTAGACAAAGATTAGTTGCAACTCCCAGCTTGAATTATATACCCACTCAAGTTTTGCAAATCAAACTTCAACCTACTTAAATAGTTTAACTTCTCGCTTATCAAATTCTGATAAGACCGCCGACTTCGTCAGTCCATAATTTCCAGCGGGTAAGAAATATCTGACTATTTGATGAAGGTTCCTCGGTTTCGCCTTAACCTTTTGTTCATGGGCCGACTGTAATAGAGTGATCTAAAATGGAGGACGAAGAAACGAGTGCCGTTAAGCCAACGTTCGAAGAGATGCTGTCAGCTTCCGCGTTTGAAGCTCTACACAGGACGCCGACTGGCGCGAACGTCAGCAGATGCGAGCTAGAGCTCAACGATGGCATGATCCCAAGTGAGGAAGACAAGATCGAGCGCCAGATTAAAGGTGCAATTTTCGCAGCCTATTTTGAATACGACCTCAGCAAACAGGACATCAACGAAGCTGTTGCAGAGGTCATCGTAACATTGAGGCTGATCCAGGATCCCTCACGAGACACTATGGATCCCTTGGATGAACCCCAGCAAATAGCTCATGCGTTTAGAGCAACGTACGTCGGTGACGCAGATACCGAGTTTCGCGAATACCTTGCTGCTTGCTGCTCTGCATATTGCGCCCACACTAGCGATTACAAGGCTCCGTATGTCACGATCACGCAGAGCTCAGGTTTCGGGAAAAGTCGCATCCTTCGGGAGCTTGCGGAGTCCACTGCGGCAGGTGAGCCCCTTGTTCACCACGGTACCAAGTTCGATGCTACGGTCCTGTACGTCTGTGCCAGTAACGTTAAAGGATCGACTGGATATCCACGCGCGACATTTACACTGCGCAAATGGCTTTTTCCTGACAAAAACTGCTCCAAATCTTCAATTTGTGCAGCACTTTGTCAAGCCTTCTCGTACGTGATGAACAATCCTAGCGCAGGGAAGGAGTGGACGACGCTTTTTGACAATGAGAGCAACGGCAGAACAGTTGACGATGTTGTCGTGGAGAAACTAAACAGCGTGGTCGCACAGCCAGAAGCAAAGAAGCAGCGGACATCTGAGAGCACCTTTCTCCATTCTGAGTCTGGAGTGACTTCGCCGGTTCTCGTTTTGGCAATCGACGAGGCACGAGCGCTATTTGACATCAAAAACACCAGTGGTACGAACGCGTTCCAGATGCTCAGTCAAGCGCTAACAATTGTGAAGGATTCGGAAGTGGTGAAAGGTGCTAACGGAGCCATAATTGCAATTCTTGTGGATACATACTCTCACGTTTATGATTTCCTCCCGGTACAAAATTGGTCTTCAGTAGATGATGGCACTGTTCTTTTTCCTGCCTTCATTGTGACGCATACGATGGATGTTATGCTAAATGAAGCGGAGCGAGACATCGACACTGGGGAGATACTCACTGGAATGGACGACACAGAGGCAAGTAGAAGTCGAGTTCTGGCCACCGACGAGGATCGAGTGTGGGCGGCTCTCGTGTCGATAGGCAGGCCACTTTGGCGTAGCATGGATCCAGGTAATGCATTGCAGAATAGGCAGAAAGTCTTAAACGTGGTGGCTGCCTCGAAGCTTCTGCTTGGTCAAGCGGCTAGAAAATCTGGGAGCTACAATGACGACACTCTTCACGGTGCGGCGTCATTATTCTGTCGTGTAGGATTGCGCCCGCGAGCGAGTGACCCATTGGCAACCCGCTTAGTCGGTAATTTTAGGAGCATACTTCACTACGTAACATACAAAAATGACGCGCACATCAGCAGCTACTCGTCGGATCCGATCCTGACGTTTGGTGCCTCGCGCCTTTGGTACCAATTGGAGCCGCCAGCATTGGAAACCCACATTCTTCCCCAGTTCCAGGCTATGCTTCTGAATGGCGTGGTGGACACGGGCAATATTGGTGAGATTGCAACGCGCATCTTCCTCCTATTGGCAATGGATGCAACAACGATGTGCGCTGACGTGAGCGATAATGTAGCAGAGAGGAAGGAATTCGTGTTTTCGGGTCAGTTCTGCGAGGTTCCAAGCTTCATTGCGATGCTCCTAGGTGATGATCCAGGTATGTTCGTAAATCTGACAATGATCGGTGATGCAGGAAAAAATCAATTTACCAAGTGGCTAAGCGGCTGGGGAGGCTGGAAGATTTGCTTCAGCCACTTTGTTGATCTGCCAGAGCAGCCTACAACCGAAATGCTGTGGAAAATGCTCGATCGCCGGGCTGCCGGTATCTTGCCCCGAAATCAGAAGGGAGCCGACCTCGTTATCCCAATATTCCGCAAGGATCTGGAGCCATCGCTCATTTTGGTCCAAGTAAAGAACATCGCTGGGGCGGACAGTGGTTTTCTGGAATCGGCACTTTCGCGTCTAGAACCTCGAAATGTCTTTAAGGCAAACCATTCACTTCGCGGTATTTCGCGGGAAAACATGATTCGCTTGTACGTAAGCCTGCGCGAGGAGCAATCTGCACAGAAGCCTGCACAGTCTGGTGTAACACCTAAGGCGTATTCGTTCAAGAGGCGAAGTGGTCTTAAGCCATATAGCTACGCGCTTTGTCTCCGAGGAATGTTTAGAAGCTCAACCGACATTAACGACACCCAGAGACGCTGGCCGTTTATGTCGATAAAGCTGATTGAGCAGCTGTGTCTGATCTCCAACTCTGCGTGGTGGGATGCCTCTACACATGTCGAGTACGACCTCGACAAGCGCAATGCCGATGATTTCGCTAAGAGACCACTGTCGCGTGTATTGACGAAAGAAAAAGCGATTCAAGTTTCAGCCAAGACGATGAATCTCTTTTCTCGAGCATGATTTAAAGGAGTTTTCTTCATATTTGCTCTTGTACATGTATGCGTGAACTAAAACAAAACATTATGCTCGTGTGTGTAAATCAGGATCGTAAATGGTCAACCGTACCCGTTCGGATAATGTCTACCCGTAACCACGGACGGCCGAAAATGTTGCCTCTCTGAAAAACGGGTAACCGACTCCAATTTTTTTCTGTCTGACTAATCGGATGCAAAATTGATCCACCTCGATATTTTCGCCGAAAATTTTCGGCCCGAAATATGCACGTGATCTCCTCTTCTATGTTCGCTAATTGTTGTCGACATCACTCATTATTGGGGCAATCTTACCAGAACCGACACCCTGGTTGTTAATGGTACGCCAGCATCCGCCGCGCATGTATGTACATTTAAACAGAAAGAGAAAATATATGATTTAATTGTGGCTCGTGAAAGGTATACAACATCGTTCCTTGTGCTCTATTACAGTTTACGATGTGTTGTATGTATGCTACTAGAAATTAGTATGCAGCCGAACCCGCGCAATGATTTCCGCTCATTTCTCCTCTAAAATAAATATTTAAAATTACGAGCTAACCCAATTATGTAAATAACTTTATTCGAAATTCGACACTTGTTGGTTTCTAGTTCGCAACGCGGCGGGAAGAAAAGAATAGCAAAGCGGAAGAATAGCGCTGATACCGAGTCCACGAAGAAGCACAGAAGCTTAGCCGCTTCTGTGGTTGAAACCTGTGAAGTACATGTACATGTGAGTTGGCTCTGGAAGCTCGCCTGAGCTGTCGCCCGATGTTGGGTTCCAGACCAGCTCGTACGACTTGTAGGATCGCCAGTGGCACTGCAGCTAGCCATATATTAAGCCACCAATAAACTCTGGAGAGCTCTCTCTGCTGTCGCCGCACATCACTTTCGAATTTAAGCTCGTGCCCTCCTGCTCGGCCTTCTGCCCAGCAATTCCTCTGTTAGTACTTGAGTATGGTAACAACAAGAAGCAGTCATCACTCACCTTCATAAAATATGAGCCCAACGCAGGCACGGGCCTCGGAGAACGAAGAACGTCCTGCGAGCTCTACAGTAGAGCAGCAGCCAGCACCAACCTCGGAAAACGAGACGCTGGTACAGGTGATTGCGACCGCTGTTGTTCGTGCGTTGAGTGTGGTCCAGACGGGGCTACAGCAAGTCGTTGCGAATCAGTCAGGAGATCCATCCGAAGAAGGAAACAGCAAACTCCCCTCTCCCAGATCACAAAGCAATTTGGACGCCGAGCACTCAGCGCTCGACACCTCACGTCCAAGCGGCCCGCACGACGAGCGAGCACGCCCTGATTTCCGGCCTGGGCGGCAGTATCCCCGCCAGTACCAAGTCCAAGTGCAATCTCAAGCACGAGGACGCGTTGACGAAGGCGGTCAACCTGAGGGTCCTGCGTCGGACCCGCAGGAGAAGCACTCGGACGAGAATTGCGTTCCGGAGGCGCCGAGTACTCGTACTCGTACGAGGGCACCTCCGCCCCTGCTTGACCGGAATGGAGAAATCCACTACCACGTGGAGCGGATTCTCCAGGAGCAACGGTGCCGCGGTAAGCGACAGCTCCTAGTGAAGTGAAGGGGCTATGCCAGTTTCCGAGAACGCATGGGAGCTGATTGAACGGCCCCTGAATGACTGCCCGAAGGATGTCGTAATCTGGAAACAGAAGCGGCGGCAGCTTTATAAGTAGCCCGGGGCTTTATGCCCGAACGGGGTACGGACGTTGACGACACTCCGTACCCGCGCTCATCGTGCACGCTAGAAGCCGTGCGCTTCAGAATGTCCATCGGCAGCATGCGCTTACTGATCAAGTGGGCGGACCGGACACGAAAATTACGCTGGTCCAGAATACGGGATAGCAGCTGACCTTCATAAAGTTCCCGTAACGCCGAGGGTGAGTACTTGAAAGACTTCACCCAAGCCCAGGTTATGTCCTCCCATGAGTCCCAGTTGGAACAGATCTCGGGAAGAGCTCAGTGGTAGCCCCAGAGAGGGTAAAGACCACCCCGGTTCTCGGGCTTCTTACGCCAAGTCGTGACGTTCTTTAGATGGATTCGGTGCGGCGCGAGGTGCACGCGCCGGGTCGTCTCCAAATTGTCGGCAAACAACTGCTCCTTCCGGACCAGGGTACATTCGTAACCGTCTATAGAAGTGTGGCCACCAACAAGGTCACGAGGAGCAACAAGATTCTCCAGGAAGAGGTCAGCCCCAGAGCTCTCCTCGGGAGTCCAATAACCTCTTATGATGATGGCATCTCCCTGGCTGACGGGTGCCACCATCGGACCCCCACGCATGCGATGGGTAGCTTGGAAGGCCTGCTGCTGGTGGTCGAGGTCGTTAGTGATCTACCGGGGCTCAGGAATAGCACCCTCTCCTCCTCGTCCTCTTCATCCGAGGAACCGAAGGGTTCCGATAGGAGGATCCAGTCTCCTTCTCGTCGCGGAGGGTGGGTCTTAGAGAGCTCTCAGGAGCGGTGTGATGAACGACGAAGGCGCCCGTGACGTTCCTGTTGCGAGCGTAGCGACGGAAATGTGGTAACTAAATGTGGAACAAGTGGAGAAAGCAGGCCAACGGAACGGACGGGCTTAGAATGAGACGAAACGTTAGAGGGTTCTACAGAGAAGCTGCACGAGACGGAGTGGTCGCTGAGGTAACAATGGAGCGTTCCTCTGTGACGCTGGACTGGGAAAATGGGACAACATCACGCTCTGAGTTGGTACATACGTCAGTAAAGGAGCAACGGAACCCCCCCCCCCGATACTACGTCGGACGCCAAGGAGAAGTGCCAAGAGAGTGATGGAGTTGAGACGCAATCCGCCCGCTCGACACAGTACGAAAGAGCACTCGAAACGATCACGGGGGACGCATCTGGCGACAGGTCAAGTCAGTTCTCGGCAGTTAATGAGCAAGTGAGCACAGGTCAAGCAACGGCAGAAGCTCAGAGCGCCGAGGAAGACGAAGAACGTCCTAAGGGGGAGGACTACGAACGCCTGTTTACCAACGAGAAGCTGGACATGCTCGAGCACGGTGGCGAGCAGGTAGTGAAGAATGAGCCCGAGGAGTATGAGAAGGAATTGGAAGAACAATTGTTCCCGATGATTAAAGAAGAGGCTCTGCTACGTGCCGAGCGAACTCGGACGAGCAAAGCAAGCCGACACTCGCGAAAATGAGTGCCGAGCTTGGAATACCGGAGGACGTCTTGGAGCGTCCCCGGGAGGTCTCGTCTGGAGATCTCGAGACGCCAGAGTATTAGCTGGACTGGTACACCCACATGCTAGAGACGTCAACAGAGGCGAAGCGTGCCAATCGAGACTTGAAGGGTGTCGGAGGAACAAAGAGAAGTTGACAACTGTCGTTGGTTCAGCTACGACGGACGAGGACGAGCGAAAGAGCTTAGCGGGGCTGTAGGGGGACGCGCTGGAACACGAGTGTATACAGAACGTGTGTTGAACTTAAAGAAAAAGAGGGTGACTTCCGGTGTGACTATCGGAGACGGTTATTATAAACAGGAGAAGAGGAGCCCGAGGTCGATTTCCTAATCGTGAGAAGAGATAGAAGAGCTTCGATGCCACGATCAAGCGCTGGCCTTCGCGAGGTAAGCGGCGGTAATGGCTCCAACGACGGTGGAGATGTCGTACCCGAGGGCAAGCATATCATCTGCAGCGATGGGGGAGTACAGGCGCTGTCAAGCGGCTTCATTGACTGCTGCCCGTCCGAAATGCTAGCTGACACTGATGCCGTCGCCAGTCTTGTCGACAAGCGCGTGTTGAAACGACTCCCTATACTGGGAGCTTGGATAGTGTTTCGGGGCACAAGCTTCGTGTTAGCAGCGTTATCGACTTGCCCGCTACGCTTAAAACGATAAAGACGACGCTTTCATTCTTCGTGACAGACCACTTGTTTGTCGACGCTATGCTCGGAACGGACTCGTTATAGATCTCGAGGAACAGTCGATGACTCCGAAGGGGACGAGAGATATTATCCCGTTGGGCGCGACGAGAATGGAAGAAACATATGCGGCTCTTCTTTATCGCCGGCTGTGCATTTGGAACCATGACACCTGGCCTTAGTGAGATCGAGCGTTCGAGGAACGATGTAAGCCCATTCCGCTGTGGTGGTCGAGGGCGTCCCAGCACGGACGAGTCTTTGAGAATCGCGCGGACATTGTGCACCGTGAGGGATGAAACGGTGTTGGTCGAGGTGTGTAACGCATCCGCGGAAGAGGCCGAGATCAAGTCTGGCGCATACGTCGCCGCTGTAATCATCGTTCCCAAGTCGGAGTTCGCAACTAGACTTCTAAGTCAGACAGAACGACGAAAAAAATTAGCGCAGTGCTGAATACAGTGAAAGAGAACGTGACGACCGAAGTTGGAACGACCGAGGCTGAGATGAGTGCCGTCATTGACGACAGCAAGGAAGACGATTTCGAAGTTGACTTTGAAAACTCGTCTCTCGGCGCAGAACAAAGGAGCAGATGTTGAAGGACCTAAGGGACGTATTCGTCGAAACTTCTAAGAAACCAGGGAGGCCGGATCTGCTAAGGTTCTGCATTGACACCAGAGATCACGTGCCAGTAAAGCAGCTTCTGTTAAGAGAGTCGAAAGCCGAGGGGACGTCATGGAAGCAGAAATTCAAGTGAATATGGATCTCGGACTCATCAGACCTTCGACAACCCCCTGGGTTAGCCCAGTCTTGATGATACGGAAGCCTGATGGTGGTGTTAGATTCTACATCGATTATCGGAAACTAAAAACTTTTACAGTGAAGGAAAGTTACCCAATGCCCTTGATGGGCGACATCGTGGACGTTCTGGAGAACGCGAAGCTTTTCTCCACGATGAACATTGCCTCAGGATATTGAAGCGCTCCAATGGATCCCGGCAGTGTGGAAAAGACGGCTTTCAGAAAATTCGGCCTCTACGAGTGGTTGGTCATGCCGTTTGGATTGTGTAACGCTGTGCCTGAATTTTAACCTATGATGGTG